AAAAGCCCTCCCATTTTAAGGCCAAATGATCACGAGCCTACTTGTTCTCTCTTCCCTTTCAAGGCATACACTACCCAGAGACTGTATTTTCTATGTGGATGTGTTGTAGAAAATCACCAGAGAAAACTTACTATCTAAGTCCATTTTCATAACTGACCAACAATGCAAACAGAATGTATAAGTGTGTGGATGGTTCCCAGGATGTCGGGCCAAGAGAACACTGGAGTAAAGACTCAAGGGAATCTCCCTGGAAGAACTTAGGTGTGCGTCAAGAGTTTTTAAATGAATGGGCAGGAGTAAGAGGTTTGTTAATGGCGTGGGTACCAATTCTCTGCCCTTTCATGAGCCCTAGTTGTCACATGTTTAATGAAAGAGAGATCTATGAGTCACTATGAACAAGCTATTTTTAGACAGTCACCTCCCTATCTCTAGACTTTTTTTTGTTTCTGCTCAGCATGTAGGATCAGACTATATATAATATTGTCAACCACTAGGCAAGTTAAATATGCAAAAAATACAGGAGTCATTTGATGAACTGAAAGTCTCAGCTCTAATATACTTAGGTATAATACTCAAACCAAATTTCTTGAAAATCATCAAACTCATTCTCCTAAATTCAAACAAACCTAACTGAATCCACTAGTAATTGAAGAACCAAAGAGATCTAATTGTTGACCATCTAGCATTTTTCTCAGTGTTAGAATAGGGAGCAGATCATTACAAGTTATTAAAAAGAGAGATTAAACTATGGAAAGACAAGCTAAGTCTATTTTTGTAACTGGCCAACAATGCAAACAGAATGTATAAATGTGTGCATGGTGTCTCAGGGCGTTGGGCCAAGAGAACAAAGCCTCGAGAGAGAATCTCCCTGGAAGAACTTAAGTGTGCATCAAGAGTTTTAAAGAGAATGGGCAGGAGTAAGAGGTTTGTTAATGGCGTGGGTACTGATTCTCTGCCCTCTCATGAGCCCTAGTTGTCATCCTGTCTCACTTCCTAGCACACTGCCTGGCACAGAATGACAAATGAGACAGAACTGAGTTCTTTCCTCAATGAAATCTCCGTTTCCAGTTCAGCCCAGTTACTACTCGCTCATTTATTCATTCATTCATTTAATAGTGTTAGTATTTTTTTTTAAAGGACAACCCCATTTTCTGTTCTTGAAGGTTTTAAGCCAGAGATAGAAATGCAGCTCAGTTGGTAGAGCGCATGTCTCACATACATAGAGCAGCTCTAGGTTCTAGCTCCCAGCACTACGTACATCATACATGGTGGCACACTTATGTGCTAACGGATTTTTGAAGGAAAAGTCTTGTCTTTCTAGTGAAACGTCACAAGCCTGGCCTCTGTTTGTGTGTCTCTCAGTATCATCATCCAAGTTTCCACAATAGCTCATTCAACTCTGAGCACCTAAAGGCTCTCCCTGCTCAAAGTTCCAAAATTCTTTAGTCTCTTCACACAAAGCATCCCAAGGTACCAAAGCCAAGTGGTCAGACTTGCCACAGCAATGTCTCATTCTCTGGTACCATTTTCTGTCTTTGTTTGCTTTTTGTTGCCATAATATAACATTGACCAAATCCAGCTTGGGGAAGAAAGAGCTTATTTGCCTTACAGGTTATAGTGTATTATTATGGGAAGCTGCTGAGGGCCTGTCCCAGCCTTTAGGGGAACAGTACTGGGCAGGACACAACATCAGATGAAGGCTAAAGACTGCTGATCCCTGGTCTTATAGTCTTATTATTTGTGTTTTAATAAGCACTGGTTTCTTTTCTCTGTTGCTCAAGGACCTCTCGCTGGTTAGTTGAGAGGCTTGGCACACATTTACTGTGAGCTAGAGAGAAAAGAAAGAAAAAGAATTAAAATCCTTTACACAGGCAATATGTACATTCTCTCTCTCTCTCTCTCTCTCTCTCTCTCTCTCTCTCTCTCTCCTCTCCTCTCTCTCTCTTTCTCTCTTTCTCTGGTCAGGCCCAACCACCTGTCTCATCAACTCCACAAGTGTTCATGCATATCCACATATCCACATATACCTACATACGTATGTATAGACCTACATATAGACAAACAGACATATAGACATTTGGTGGATGTGGCAGAGCCCCAGATGCCACACTTTCTTCCTTCTCTCTGGCCTTCTCAGACCTTCTTAGACAAAAGTTCTTAGAAAATTGCTTCACAGATAAAATGTTACACAAAAGAGGAGTTACAGAAGGATGTTGATATTAGCCTCAAAGCAATGTTTCATTCTTTAAGCTCAGTATAGGTTCAAAGCCACAGTTTCACATGGCCTTGCTTTATCATAGTGCACACCTGTGGCTTCACCCTTGGACCTGACCTAGAATGAATGTTTTCCCTTGATCACAGACTTGCCCCAAGCCTATTTCTCTTCTTAGTGTAATTGTGGAAGTATAATGTATTCCTTATTATGCAGCCTTTACTTACTTTTCTGTGAGGAATGGGCATATTCTATCCTCGATTCTAACTTTATTATATCTTTCTGGCAAAACAACTTAAACCATCTCCTAAAACTCGCTTCCTAAAATTATTTGAATCAAATCAGGAATTCTATAACATCATTAATTCATCTAAAACAGCATTAATTCACGAAAGCTCATCTTCATATTGATCTGCAGGAAATTTGCCCAATAGGGTGGGCTGATGCCCAGGAATCATCAGGCTATGGAATATTGGCAGGAAAAGGTATATCACCAACATGAAGCAATCCTGGGATAAAAATCTCTGAAGGCCCTGCGAGTCAGAGCTTATTCATTGTAGCCATGCAAAGTGATGGGCCATCTACAGAAAACTTACTTGCATGTCTTTAGCCTTTCCTAGATGGCTCTTGACAAGAAGCCAGGACAAGAGCTCAACACAGGGACCTAGAGGTAGGAACCAAAGCAGAGATCATAGCGGGATGCCGCTTAGTGGAATGCTGCTTACTGGCTTGCTTAACTACCCATCTTATAGAGTCCAAGCCTGCCTGCCAGGGATGGCACTGCCTATAGTGCCATTAATTAGCGATCAAGAAAATACCCCCACAGATATTCCCATAGGCACGCCAGTCTGATTGAGGTAATTCCTTCTTCCCAGAAGTGATGATGTCATTATAAAGTAGACCCGTGAGAGTTAGAGTGCAAAGGTACACAAGTAGGAAGCAGCCCTCACTTGTCCTGAGCCAGCCAGCATCTACATCTTTGTTTTCTTAGCTTCCAAAACTATAAGAAGCAAAGATCTGAATGCAAGTCATGCACTTACATATATGAAGGCAAGACACTCATGTGCATAAAGTGAGATAAATAAAATCTTTAAAGGGACTGGAGAGTTAAGAGCTAAGAGTCAGGGGTTAAGAGTACATACTGCTGTTTTGCAGAGGGACCAAGTTTAGTTCCCAATACCCACTTGGAGTTGTTTACAGACATCTATAACTGTAGCCACAAGGGGTCTAATGCCTCTGGACTCCATGGGCATTTGGACTGGCACGTGTGAGTGTGCATGTGTGCGTGCGCTCAAACCCCGCACCCCCCAAATCACACACATTACTTGTTTAATGGAAAAATGTAATTTACTATTGCTTACTATAATCTGAATAGCTTGTGTTTTTTTTTTTTTTTAGAATAGCCTGACAATATAATAAAAGTACACAGAGACTTCAGACAGTTTCATGTAACTGAGTGTGAACCCTGAGGAAAATCTTGTGGAAGCCTGATCCTCCAAGGCCCCATGGCTTTCATTTGCTGGTTCTGGACTCCCTCTAGTGGTGCATGCGTTTGGTGCTTTAAATAGTGCTCATAGAATTGCCAAATTTGGAGTCCTGTAACCCAACAAAAGAATCACGGAACTGTTATTATGATGTTTTTCTTTTCAAGGTCTTATTTTGTTTTGTTTTTTGAGACGTTTCTTCATTCTGTAGTTTAGGCTTGCCTAGACCTCACTACGTAGCACAGGTTGAGCTGGAAATTGTGATAATCCTTACGTAGGCTCCCAAATGTTGAGATACAAGTATGAACCATCACACCCAGCTTAGAATGGTTTCCTACAAGATTACGTCATTGTAAGTATGATGAATTCAGATGTACGGATGACTGAAGCAATACATGAAAGTGGTCTGATTTAGAGGAGAAGGATGGGTTAAGGCTGCCTGGGAAAGATAATCTATAGTTCTACAGAGAATGAACGAGAGTTGAGGGCCCAGGAACAGAATCTTTTCTTAATATTTGTGACATAGGAGAGGAGTGACTGTTTTTGTGGGGAAGTCATGTATTTCTTGGCTAAGGTCAGAGAACTTTATAGTCCTGCCCTGAATGGGGTCAGCCTCTGCATGTGACACAAAACATGTACTCTTCTCCACACCGTATCCCTACTAGCGTAACCTCTACCTCTGTTTTAAATCAGTGCAGAAATCTGTAAGGCTAACTTAGCTCTAATTGCCTCCGTTGGCATCGCTTATGACCATCAGATGTACCTTTTATGCAACCATGGTCAAAATATGCAGAGAAAAACCTCTTAAAATCACCCCATTAAACTTCTGTTTCCTGGTCAGTTCTATACCACAGCTATTCACAAGTACGCTAGCTTTCACATATATCCCTTTACATATTGAAGATGGTTATTATGTCTTATTACGTCTTCTTTCCCATATCTAGACGCTCAAAGCTTTTTGGAACGAGAATAAAATATACTTCATAAGGTGCGAGCATCATGAGTAACTCGGCGGATATTTTATTTGCACCTTGTTTATACCTCTTAACAGGTTACACCTTGTCAGCAGCTTGTGTTTTTCTTTTTCCTTAAGAAATATTTTCACAAAATGAAAACTCTTATGGCCTAATGGAGCAACCGTATGATGTTTGTCAGATGGCAGCGGAGACCTTTTCTTTGAGGCTTTTGGACAGACAACCAGGCGTCTGAAGTTTACCGAGACCCAGCCTTTTCTCACTTTCCCAGAAGTCCTTTCGACCGTCAATCAGTGGCTTGTTCCTTAATGGCGCATGCGCGCCGCCCGCATCCGGCAGCGGGGTGAACTGCTGCCGGGCTTTCCCTGGCGTGCGTTTCCTAGTCATGGCTCCGGACTCGGGGCCCTGCCCCGACGGGCAGCTTTTGAAGCTGCTGCCGGTGGATCCCCGGGACCGGGGCACGCAGCGCTGCCGCTTGGGGCCGGCCGCCTTCCGCACCCTGGGCGCGCGCCTGGGCTCGCCGCTGAGGATCTCCTTGCCAGCCGGCGGCTGCTGCCTCTGTACGGCCTGGCCGCGGCGCGACGGGGCGGACGGCTTTGTGCAGCTGGACCCGCAGTGCGCGAGCCCCGGAGCCGCGGCGGCCGCGGGGAGGATCGGTATGGACTGCTTGCAACCGGTGCCCTGTCCGCCCCTGCGGCGCCTAGAGGTGTGGCCGGTGCTGCGGCCGCAGGCGGGAGCTCCGAGTTCCGCCGCGGTGCTGGAGGTAGCGCAGGAGCTGCTGCGCAACCGGCCGGTGTCGCGGGGACACGTGGTGGCCACCCCGCCGGGCGTCCCCGGCCCTGTAGCTGCGCTGCACGTGGTGGGCGGGACACCGGACCCAGAGCCCGCCGGGTGGGTCACTCCGCATACCGGCATCACGCTCAGCGACAAGCCTCCGCCACAGGTCGAGCCTCCGGGGGAGGTGACCCTTGGGGGCCTGTCGGAGACGGCCGACTCTCTGAGAGAGCTGCTCCGCCTGCCGCTGCGCTATCCGCTCGCCTTAGCTGCGTTAGGGCTGGCGGTGCCCCGCGGGGTGCTCCTGGCGGGACCCCCGGGAGTGGGCAAGACTCAGTTAGTGCGGGCCGTGGCCCGCGAGACCGGCGCCGAGCTGCTGGCGGTGAGCGCCCCGGCGCTGCAGGGCTCCCGGCCCGGGGAGACCGAGGAGAACGTGCGGCGCGTCTTCCAGCGCGCCCAGGAGCTGGCCAGCCGCGGGCCCAGCCTCCTCTTCCTGGACGAAGTGGACGCCCTGTGTCCCCGGAGAGGCGGCTCCCAGCGAGCTCCCGAGAGCCGCGTGGTGGCCCAGGTGTTGACGCTGCTGGACGGCATCCACGGGGACAGAGAGGTTGTGGTCGTGGGAGCCACCAACCGGCCAGACGAGTTAGACCCAGCGCTTCGCAGGCCGGGGAGGTTTGACAGAGAGGTAAAAGTTCCTGAAAGCTCGCCTTTTTGGACAGCTGGGTCAGGCAGGATTTGTAGATCACTTGTGACATGCATGCCACCCAGAACCTGGGTTCAAATCGTTGTGGGAAGCAGGATGGTCGTTTGCTTTGTTGAGGTAACTAAGCCTGTTGCAAGTATATTAAACTGAAATAGCCTTTGGGATGAGAACTTAGTAAGAGAAGGCAAGGAAGGTAAATAAAAACAGTCATTAGCCCCTAAATGTATTCATTCCTGTCAGGATACCAGCTTCCTGTCCTACAATGACTTCCTAAGTTGTCAGGGCTGTCTTCCTTAGGAGCTTTGGTCCTCAAGTGGCTTTTTTTTCCCCCTAGGGAATTGTTAAGTATTTAAAATTTGTGGTAGAATTCTCTTAAGTCTTTCGAGGACTTGAGTGGATTTCTTCCTTGCACCATCTATTAAAGGGCCCTGCTTCCAAAGAACAAGGGCCTAGATTATCTAGTCTGTTATTTGATCCATGATTGCCAGAATTTGTTGTGTTCTCAAAAAAACAACAAAGACTTCTTCAGTGAAATATAGAGTTTTCATTATGAAGATTCCAGCCACTGTTGTTCCACTGGACAACCGGCATTTTCTTGTATTCATAATCTAAGGTGTGCTTAGAAGGTCATGATACAAGTTCCAGAAAGGTTTGCTGAGTGACTGTACATATTAATGAGGGTGCTTTTTAAAGATTTTAAGTTGCCTGCTTCTGATTTCTCTACTTTTTGCTTTGCCTGTAGGTTGTCATTGGGATGCCCACACTAAAACAAAGAGAGGCAATTCTGCAAGTGATTACTTCAAAGATGCCCGTCTCCAGTCATGTAGATTTAGGTCTCCTGGCAGAAATGACGGTTGGCTATGTCGGTGCTGACCTGACAGCACTCTGTAGGGAGGCTGCCATGTGTGCCCTTCTCAAGAATGAGAAGGTAGGAAGTGTTCACCTGTCAGAAGCTATGGTAATCTTTCAGATGAATATGACAGATTATTGTGAGGTTAAGAAAGGTGGTAAGTACATCCATTCCTTGGCATGGCTGGTAGGCTCCACAGCTGTTTCTGTGAGTGTGAGTGTGTGAGTGTGTGTGTGTGTATGAACATATGTGTACAAATATAACCTAAATATACATCTCTACTCCATATAAATATATGACTAAAGATGAGGATAAATGGCCGAGTCTTCCAGGAAAGTCTCCATGGTGAATTTTCCTCAGTAACTCCCTAGTGCTAGATGCTGGAGCAGCCAGGAAAGACAGTGTCCCTCAGAATAATCAGACAGATTTGAATTTAGAGCTTTTGAGCACCACTTCAGACTTACACAGAAAGGCACAAAAATAGTGCTAAAACTTTCCATAGCTTTTACCCAGATTTAAAGATTGTCATTGATCTTCAAATCTTAAATTAGTAATTACTTTAAAATATTTAGGGTTATCCTAAATATAATATTTTGTAGCACTATTATTTTGAAAACCAAATCATTTCGTATATGATAACCCGGGTGTCTAGACCTCTTCAGAAAGTAATAATTTTAGTAGCTGAGGATTCTGAGACATTTCAACTTCATAACATCCTAAATTTTTATCTAAATAATTTATATCTTTCCCAACTTTTCCATTATTTTCATTCTAATACTGAAGGTGGGAAGAAGTTATATGAACTTCTAAGTCCTCATCTTAATGGATTTGGTACCAAATTGCTTAGTGTTTTAATGAGTCCCTGTGTGAAGGTGTGAAAATGTATGTTCCTTGTGAGAAAGAGTAAGAGATCCGGAGAGAAGGGAGGCGCATTTGGAATTCCCTCTGCTTTGTGAAGTTCCAGGCTTTGAACTTCAGCATCTCTGACTTAGGTGGACCAGTCAGCTCACTGCTACTTGAAGAGGGGCCTACCTAAGTCTAGTCACCACAGGGATGGCTGAGTTCTGAAACAGCCCAGGGAAAGGAGAAGGGACAGACATCTGGGAAGGTACTGACTTATCTTTTTTCCCTCTCACTAGGCAGGTGAAGAGCTCTGTCTGTATCAGGGCAGACAAGGAATCCATTAAAGTTTTTCTGAACTAGTGCAATGACAAGAATTAGAAACATAGTTTAATAAATACAGGAGAGAAAGGACTTAGTGCCTGCAAGGCGATGAGAGTCAAATAGGATTGCAGCTCACAAGTGGTCTTGAGTGAGATTTCCAAATGCTAGTTGGTATTCTCAAAATTAGAGTTCAGGTACCCAGAATCTAATACTGTAAGCCAGCAAATCAAAGAAACAAAACAAAAATATGTGATAATGTGCCATAAATAAGTCTTTTCTTTTTTTTTTGTTTTTTGTTTTTTGTTTTTCTTTTTTGTTTTTCGAGACAGGGTTTCTCTGTGTAGCCCTGGCTGTCCTGGAACTCACTCTGTAGACCAGACTAGCCTCCGAACTCAGAAATCCGCCTGCCTCTGCCTCCCAAGTGCTGGGATTAAAGGCATGCGCCACCACTGCCTGGCTCTTTTTTTTTTTTTTTTTTAAGATCTATTCATTTCATTTGTTTAAGTACACTGTTGCTGTCTTCAGACACACCAGAAGAGGGCATCAGATCCCATTGCAGATGGTTGTGAGCCACCATGTGGTTGCTGTGAGTTGAACTCAGGACCTCTGGAAGTGCAGTTAGTGCTCTTAACTGCTGAGCCATCTCTCCAGCCCACATAAGTCTTTTCATCAACAGTAGAACAAACATACAACAATGACTAAATTGTTTGTCAGAATGTTTTCTCATTAAACATGTGATTCACATTAAGCAGGATGACAAAATATAAAAAAAATGAGCTTTGCCTAAAACATTACATTAGGGGTGACAGTTGCTAACATATTTAGATAATACTGTTCGGAATAGGTCTACCATAAGTATCCATTTTCATGGTCTTCTCTAAATGCTGTAAAATAGATAATAGTTGAACATTTGTAGACAACCCAATACTTAGAATTTGATAGGAAGGCAGATTATTCAACAACAATATAGGTGAACTAGAAATGAGCACAAGGAGCTTTTGATGAGTTAAAAGCTTCGCTGGAGTGATAGAAAAAAAAATCATGAACTAGTGTGAATGCCTGATGTTACAGGGAAGAAGAGCAGTGAGGGTGTAGCTCACTGATCTGAACGTCTGAAGATGGGCAGACAGGTGACTTGCTCACTAAAGAGCAGGAGAAGGCCTTTCAGCCCATTTCCTTCATATGGAAAGAACCTTAAGGACAGGAAGACAAGACCACCAAAAGTCATTTCCTTTAAAAGTGTTTTTTAACATTTTATTTTCAAAGTCATTTAAATTTTATTGGAAAGTTTGCAAAATAGTTAGACCTTCACCAAACCCCTTTATCCAAAGTCACAGTTTTTAACATTTGCTAAGTTAGCGTTATCATGTTCTCCCTTGTCTGTCGCGCGTGTGTGTGTGTGTGTGTGTGTGTGTGTGTGTGTGTGTTTGAGTGTGTGCACACATGGTTTTTATTTTATAAGAGCCGTTTGAGAATAATTTTTTCGATCTCAGATTTGTGACTTTGACATGAGTGACTCAGGCCGGTTATTTTATAGAATGATATAAATGATATTTAGATTCCAAGTGTATATCCCTGTTGGGAACAGTACACAGTCAGGATTATGTCTTTACCATATCTAGGCACAAGATAGCTGCAGGCTGCTCATTGGATGCTAACTGACCCGCTATCAGGCCAGTGTCCAGTTCTCCACCTTGCAGCTATTTTCTTGTTTGCTACTAATAAGGAAGTGTGTGAGGAGACACCTTGAGACCTAAAAATGTCCCCTTGTCAATGTTCTTACTCAGAATAGCTTTTATAGAACTTGAAAACACAATGACTTTCTAATCCTGTTATTTTTCCTGTTTCACTCTGAACTGAAGAAATTTAATCAACACAGTGTTGAGTAGTGTTTCTTCCTGGCTATGGCTTCTTTAGAAGACAATCTGTTAACAGTTGTAGCTGTTAGAATTTAAACTGAACGAGTGAGCTCAGTGCTTCCACTTTGAGGGAATGATTGACAAAGATGCTTGAACTTGAGAATAGTGATGATTACATTTATAAGTTCAGAAGAGTGTTGGGGTTTTTGTTGTTGTTTGTTTTTTGTTTTCTTTTAGAGTTTCTTATGTACCATGTATTCTATAGAAAAGGCCTACCTAATTTTTTACTTCATTTTTCTTTTTGGGATATATTTCTTCAGGACCAAGACAGTCCTAAAATTGAGGAAACAGATTTTCTTGAAGCTTTTAAAAAGATTCAGCCCTCATCATTTCGAAGTTCCATTGGCCTGATGGACATCAAGCCTGTTGGCTGGGAGCAGATAGGTGGACTTGAAGACGTAAAATTGAAGTTACAGCAGGTAACAGTTACTGAGCAGCTTATTCTGGCAGAATCCCCTAGAGGCTTCAGTGTCTGTAGTGAAAATGCTGTAATCAAGCTGTGCTAGCTAGCCCTCTTATCCAAATTCCTGGTCATTTATTTAGTCTTTATTTAGTTAGACTTCTGTAGATACTAGTTTTTGTGTTTCTCTGTCTTTTAGGTTTTTCAAGACAGGGCTTCTCTGTGTAGCCCTGGCTGTCCTGGAACTCACTCTGTAGACCAGGCTGGCCTCAAACTCAGAAATCCGCCTGCCTCTGCCTCCCAAGTGCTGGGATTAAAGGCGTGCGCCACCACTGCCCGGTATGTTTCCCTGTCTTAATCTTTTAAGATTTTGCTTTAAAGAGTTCATTATAATCTAAAACACAGGTCAACAGAATTCCTGTGATAAGATGGATAGTAAATCCTTTAATTTTTGAGACACTCAGGCTGTCAGCTGTTTACGAGCTACTGTAGTTTGAGAGCGGGTAAATGAGAACATTTGGCCTGTGTTTCCATGGTTCTGCATCTTTGGATGCAGCTGTGTAAAATACTGTCTGCACTGAACAGATTCGACATTTTTTTCTTGTTATTTTACCGTAGGTAACGCCATATGCCAACTATGTACATGGCATTTGCTTTATTAAGTATTATAGCTGGTAGATTGTAGGTTATATGCAAGTGCTATGGTTTTTCCTCCATGGTGCTGGAGTTTGAAGTTATAGAGAGCCCTTCCTATGGGCTTGTCTTGTTTAACTTTCACAGTATTGATGCCGAAGAGACACCAGCCACACTTCTTCTGATGTCTTCTATTAGCCTGGTTGTGGCAGTTTCCTACCTTTCTGGACACTCTTCTACCTTCCCTGAAATGTTGATGCTTGAGAGACTTATGGACATTTTTCTTTCTTTAAAATTATTTTTATTTTATGCATATTAGTGTTTTGGTCCTATGTATACATTGGCACCACATGCATGCTTGCTGCCCCTGGAGGTCAGAGGAGGGTGTCAGATGCCCTGAGACTGGAGTTATGGATGGTTGTGAAACACCATGTAGGTTCTGAGAGCAAAGCGTAGGTCCTTTGCAAGAGCAGCAAGTGCTATTAACCACTGAGCCATCTCTCCCGTCCCAGATACCCTTTCTGTAGTCCAAGGTGATTGGCAGGGTCTAAGATCCGTCTTAGCTGTCCCTTGATAAGTCTTGGGTAGACTTTTTTTCTTCATGTCATCAGGACTGCTTAGCTGCCTGTCTGCTAGGTAACCACAGAGCTGTCAACATGTTGTGTCCAGGGTCCATCTAAAGCCAGGTGTAGGATGCATGCCTTTAATCCCAGCACTTGGGAGACAGGGACAGGTGGATTTCTTTCAGTTTGAGGCCAGCTTGGTCTGGTAAATTTTAGGACTGTCAGGGCTACATAGTAAGACCCCCTCTCAAAGAAAAACAAAAGGAAATAAACAAACTAACAACTCCCCCGCTATACCTAAAATTCCTTACCTCAGTGAACACAGTCAACCAGCAGTTCCCTGTCAGAAGTATGGCACTAGGACTTTGTAAAATACAATTTCTTATGTTTCAGTCACCAGTCTGTCCTCCACGTCTTCACTGACTGATCTTCCAGCCTTCTAGTGTGCTCCACATATTTCTGTGTTGCCGTCTGGACTGTTGTTCGTCTCTCTGTTTTGGTCTGCCTCCACTTCATCTCCAGTGCTTCAGCACACTGATCGGGCAGCGTATTCGATGGCTTCATGCCTCTCTTTTTGTGTCATCTCTCCTTGGAGTGCCTGTCCCTGATTGTTAGTTTAAAAGTCTCTCTCCTTCGGAACAAAGCTCCCCCCTTACACTCTTTTCTTTCTTTCTTGAGGCCAGTGTTGGTTCTGCCACCTCACTAAGAATAAATTGCACAGTTCACTGCTAACTTTTCTAGGCCTGAGCTTCAGAGTCTGTAAAATGATGGTAAACCCACTTGCCTTAGAGGTGGCCAGGCTTCTTCAGCATTCAGTAACATTTCTTGAGTGCCTGCTGTAGGCATGAACCAATGCTGCTGATTCTGTAGCAAGAGCAGAGTGGCCAGCCTGTCATGGAAGAGGAGTAGTAGTGAACTATAAACGGTCTAAGGAAGGTGGAAGGCAGTCCAGGCTGTGGCTGAGAGAAGGGGCTCTGTACTGCCCCGGTTCTTGGGGAAGACTTCTTCAAGCAGGTACTATTGAGTTAGTGAGAGGGAGAATAGCCACATGGGGCTGGAGAGATGGCTCAGCACAATAAGAGCGCTTCTTGTTCTTGTAGAGGACCAGATTCAGTTCCCCAAACCCATATGGCAGCTTATAACCATCCATAACTCCAGTTTTAGGGGGATCCAATGACTTCTGACCTCTGCAGGGACCAGGCATATACATAGTATGTGTACATACATACAGACAAAACAACCAGACGCAGAAAGGAAAAGATAATTAAAAGTTTAAGAAGAGTAGCCACAGAGAGATTTTGGGAGGACATTCAGGCATAGCATGGTCTCACAAGTGAAAGTGCTTGGGTGCAGATGAGCCAAGTGGTAGGGACCTGGCTTCCTGGGCTGTCATGAGGACAGGAGGCTATTTGAGCCCAACAGGTTGTGGGAAGTCCCAGATGAGGGAGAGATTTGGCATGTTGCTGGTGCACTAATATCTCTCTGTCTCTGCCTATTTACAGTGTGTTGAGTGGCCTCTAAAGTTTCCTCAGGAGTTTGCCAGGATGGGTCTGACACAGCCAAAGGGCCTTCTCCTGTATGGTCCCCCTGGATGTGCTAAAACTACTCTGGTGAGGGCCCTGGCCACAGGCTGCCACTGCTCCTTCGTGTCGGTGTGTGGGGCTGATCTCTTCTCTCCTTTTGTTGGAGACTCAGAAAAAGTCTTGTCTCAGGTTGGTGTATCTTTAAGTTGTGCTTTTTCCTGTTGTGAAAGGTATATATGCTTAAATTTAAAACAAGAGTCCTCTTCCCCATAACCCTTCCACGGACTGCTACTGTTTGGTAAATTTTCCTCTCTGACTTTGAGGAAGGTAGAGGTGAGCTTTTACCAATCAGAAATTTTGTCTTTTATTTATTTTTGCCATTTTTAAAGACCATGTATATGTGTGTGTGTCCAGGTAGGCTATATGCACTTGTGTGCAGGTGTTCTCATAGACCCAGAAAGGGATGCTGGATCCCCTGGAGCTGGAGTTGCAGAAGATTATGACTCTCCCAGTGTGGGTACTAGGAAGTGAACTCAGGGCCTTTATAAGAACAGTATGCACTCTTAACCCCTGAGGCATCTTTCCAGCACTTTTATCATGGTTTTTAAAGTTCAGCATCATCACCAGATGGATTTGGTGGCATATATCTTTAATTTTAGTACTGAGGAGACAGTGACAGGCAGATCCCAGCCAGCCTGGGCTACATACTGAAATCCTGCCTTAAAAGAAATTCTGAAATTCTATGTTAAATAGCTTTTGAGAAGACAATTTTTAAGCAACTATCTATCTTTGGCCCTTGTTTTACTTATCTATTCTCTAGTTTGTAAGTACTTAGAATCTTCATTTTTCTGTTTTAATAATTACAAATAGGAAAGTGAAAGCAGTCACCGGAACGGCGTGTGACGTTGTGTTTTTCTTCCCTCACTAAGGTATTTCGACAAGCAAGAGCCAATACTCCAGCGCTTGTGTTTTTGGATGAAATTGACTCAGTCTTGGGGTCTCGCTCAGTCGGCACCTTGGGATGTGATGCCCAGGAGCGAGTTCTTTCAGTTCTGCTGAACGAGCTCGATGGTGTGGGAGTTAGGACGGTAGAGAGAAGAGGGAGCAAAGCCAGCCGACAGGGTAAATACCAGGAGCTGGAGACACTCTGAACACTGTCTGTCAGCTAGAATGCTCCAGAATTAGATAGCATTCCCGCACAGCTGCTTTTCCCAGGCTGAAGTCATCCTACAGAGGGATTTATATGATTTCATTTGAATTCTTGGTACTTTTGCAGGGCGAATAAAAGTTGAGACTTGGACAGAAGAAAGTGAAAAGTTTTATAATTCTCTAATATGTGAATTTAATTTTTCTAAGAATGAGAAATATTTTTTGCTTACTGGAGAAGGGAGATTATTTTCATGTGTATATCCCGAAGAAGGACTTATCCCTTCTTCAGTTTGTGTGTGTGAAACATTACAAAACAAATTAGCCCTTAAGTAACTTTGATAGTTGAGAGTCAGCGAAGGTGGCTTTGGGGTGCCCTGTGTCTGTGAGCCTCTTGTTCAGAAATAGTGGCTTCTTGTCCTGAGCAGGTCATTTCTGAATTACTTTAGGATAATCATGTTGTTTATTTCACATTTTAAAAATCATTCACAGAAGGAGCACTTTAACCGCTGTAATTAGCAGAGACCCATGATGAGGTGATCGATCTCATGATGCTGTACATTAGCCCGTTAGCATGCTGGGAAACTTGTTGCTTTGAGGGTAAACACTGGAAGACTGCTTGGACTATTCAACTCTAGGAGTGGTTCTGATTTTAGGCCTCACTGTCTTTTAAATGTTTCTTCTTTTGGGCTGGGAGTGTATGTAGCTCAGTGGCAGAGTGACTGCCTGGCAGGCCCACACCCTGGGTTCTATCCCCACACCACATAAGCCAAGTGTGCCGGTGAGCACTGTAAACCCAGTGCTCAGGAAGTGCAAACACGGCTTTTAAGGTCAATTTTGTTGGGTAAAGAGTTTTGGGACAGCTTGAGGTATGTGAGACTCTACCTCAAACAGAAACAAATGTTACTTCTCATCCAGGGTTTGTATAACTTCAGTTCAGCTTGATTTTCATCATTTCTGCCTCTGGAAAGAAGGATAAAAAGTAAATTTCCACCTCTGTGGGTATTGAAAGCTAGACTTTCCAGAACTGTACCTGTGCCCATTAGTCATGCATTCTGCCCTTGCAAGCAGCTTCTTTATGATTGCTGTTCTTTGAGTGCTTGGGTGGATTCAGGAACTGGCCAGGTGTTCTTCCATCTGGCTTCTCACCAGTTCTCACACGGAGAACCGCCTGTCAGGACTAGCCATTCCTTCAGAGACACGAGGTAGCTCTTTGATTAATGAGTTGTTGCGGGTGGCTTTATACCAAGAAGGCGGCTGGGCTTGAGTGTAGCATCCTGGTTCCAAAAGAGGGTTATTCTTTTCAAACACAGTACTTTCTCATATGGACTTAACTTGAAGGATTTTAATAATTTACAGTTTGTTGATGTTACTTTGTGTTATATGCTTTCCCTCAGAGTGTCAAGAAATTCTTAATCAGAGTGTCATGATTGTTGTGGCAACAAATAGGCCTGATGTGTTAGACGATGCCTTGTTACGGCCTGGAAGATTAGATAAGATCATCTACGTCCCCCCTCCTGATCGAGAGGTACGCAGTTCCTGTTTCCTTTGCATCAGCAGTGTGTCTCGTTAGCGTGGCTACATAAATTCCAGACTGGGTAGCGTGGACAGTGTGTCCTGCTCTCACTGTGCAATGCTGGTACCTAGTTTGTTGCTTGGTGATTCTTCATAAAGTCACGTGTTTGTCTATGCTGGTTCCCTGGCCCTGCCTTCAGGGAGACATGCCTCAAACTGACTCTATGCTCCCAGCAGTACTGAGGGCACCGGGTGTCGCTGTATCTGGGATGGAAGGATCCTCAGGCATTTGAGTCACTGAAAGGGCTTTGGCAGTGGTCCGGGTCTGTGGGGACCGCAGCATGTCCAGTCAGGAAATGCTTTGCTCTTAAACACCCGGAACCACTGTCAGATGGTAAAGGGCTCCAGGAGCTAATTTTTCCTTCCTTGGTATTTTATCAAGTTTTAAAGAGATCTCTTTTTTTAGTAAATGTCTGATGCTTCTAAATGTGTCTGATAAATCATGTGTTTGCTTCTAAACCTATTCTGATAGTACTTCTGTTCCCAAAAGAGAATCATCTTGTCTCATAAGGAGAAATGGTTATGACTGGCAACTTCAAAAGTTAATTAAGAAAATATTTGTTTTTCATGATTGCTGTGTAGACCATTAATGACTCAATCTCTCTTTCAGAAGCATGAGTGATATTGTTTGACTATGAAGACACACACATATCATACACACAAATATACACCCCACACACACCACAAAATATATACACTATATATATACACCACACAAATATATACATCATACACACACACACACACAGTCACACACCCCAAATGCACACACCATACATACATCACACACACACACAGTCACTACATACACATTACACACACATATACCACTCTTCTCCACACACCCACACAACACACACAGCACATACACCACACACACACTTTGTAATGTGATAAGAAATTTGAACTTAAAATGTTTACTGTATTAGTGTTGAACATAAATGTTATAACATTGTAAATATGTTTTTGTTTGTTTATTTTCTTCCAGGGCAGGCTTTCTATTTTAAAAGTCTGTACAAACAACATGCCAATAGGACCTGATGTTTCACTAGAAAACCTAGCAGCAGAAACCTGTTTTTTCTCTGGAGCTGATCTTAGAAACCTCTGCAAAGAAGTGAGTGTGCACTGTTTTATTCGGAGTCTTTGAGTGGTTTTCCTTTTCTGTAGCTTTACTAAATATAAAGTTGAGAAGAATGCATAGATCTTAAGGATATAATACTGAATGACTGTGAAGTGACCACACTTTTATAACCAGTATTTGTGTCAGGAAGAGATTGTTGGTATTCTAGAATCTTCCTTCGACTCTTCCTACCCTCTCCCCCTGCTGCCCACCAAAGGGGACCACTCTGCTTACTCCCACACTGGAGACGAGCTGTGCAGCTTTTGAGCTCTGAGTTTCTACATTCTGCCATGAACAGTGTGTCTGTGGTGAGAGTGTGGAGTTAGATCTTCCATACATGTACATGCTACAAGGAGCATTGCCAGGTCATAAGATGTGCCATCTTTTCTTTTATGAGCAGAGCTGCATGATTCCTCTCATTTTGACTATATGTGAATTCAGGGCATGTATGTTATTCTGCAGTTTGCCTATTTAAGGCTGGATTTTTTTAATGTACAGGAAATTATGGTCTATGGTGGATTTTTAGTTACCTTAACTTTTAGTGTTTTTTGATGGCATTGAAGTCCTTTGATGTGACACCAAGGATTTGCCACCAGATTGCTGTGTTGGCAGTTACTGTTAGTTTTAATGTGAAGCAATTTGACTATTGCCTACTGCTTGTATCCTTCAGGCTGCCTTGTTTGCTCTGCAAGAAAGCGGACTGGAAGCAACCACAGTGAAACAGGAGCACTTCACAGAAGCACTCAAGACTGTGAAGCCGTCCTTAACTCCGGAAGAGTTGACTTTCTACGAAAACTTATTTAAGAAAGGACTTTCTAACTTGGAAGATCATTAAATTTTTATTTTATTCAGTTTTTTCATATGAAATGGCTTGCAACTTCACACTTTCATGAGGGGGGAAGGGATAGGGAACAGGAAGAGAGAGAGAGAGAGAGAGAGAGAGAGAGAGAGAGAGAGAGAGAGAGAGAGAGAGAGAGAGAGAGAGAGAGAACTTGATTGATAAGGACCGTCTTACTTCTAGAAGATATATTAAAAACCATAATGAAAATCATATGTGTGATTTTGTTAGGATAATTATTTTTGTTTGGTCATCTATGACTTTGAAGTATTTCATGCTTACAGGAGAGTTGAGGGAACAGAACAGAGCTCTTTGGCATGCTCTGACCCGGGTTCTCCACTCTAGCATTTTCTCACATTTGTCTTTGCTTCTCCTCCACACACACACCGTTTTCTTAACAGCTTGGGACTGCACTAGAGCCTTGAGTCACTTAGTCTTGGGGATGACACTGAGAAGTGTGCCATTAGGTGGTTTTGTTGTGAATGTCATGGAGTAGTGTGGTTATTCCAGCAAGATAGTGACACCACCAGGTGAGATGATTTGGGGAGTTCGCTCTCATACATGCCTGTCCCCCAAACATACAGTTCATGGCCATCCATGCATAATGCTCCATTATAGCTAGTGCTGAGCACGTGTGCCACACAAATAAAACTGCCTTATGTGATAATTAACTCACAAACTCCGGAAAGCTTAACATCAACAGCTGTATTTTAATGTAGTCGGTGTATTCTCTCTGTCCCAGTGATGGTCTTTCCTGTCAGATGATTTAGTCTGGGATTACACACTGAGTTTAGTTGTCATGAGTCTTCCATGTCTTAACTTGGATACAATTCTCAGTCTCTCTTGGCCTCAACATCTTTGAGAAATGTAGATCAAGGTTTTATTGTTTGTCTGTTTGTTTATTTTTGTTGAACAGTCAGCCCTGGTTTGTAGTGTTGTAGTGTTTGTTCTGATCACTCAGTGTTGTTTAGTTTCTCTATTATACACGTAACTTTCTCCCTTTTATATGTAATTTGAGGTCATAGATTTGTCTTTGTGTTTTTATTTTTATAGAAGCAACTAAAAATTAAAAACCCTTTGCTATTTAACCTTCCAGTTCTTGGTTTCTTTTAATCCCAGAGTAACAATAGTACACTGTTGCAGTAAAACTCCAACCCCAATAAGCCCATGCAAAACCAACTCAGATACAAGATTTATAAGCTGTACACCTAGACTGGGCAGATTTACCACTACACTACTCTATTCCCCAGCTATGAGATCCTTTGCTACTTGTGTCTTCTCCAGGCCATGTGGTTCTGTTCCATCTTTCTCTCTTGTTTCCTACTCTTGCCCCACTCTCTAAAACCTTTCCTTTCCTTGCCTTTCCCTTTCACTGCCCAATCACAGGCTCTATCCTTTATTTGACCAGTTAAAATGGGGAGAAGGTTGACATGAAATCACGAGTGATCTGGTTGGGCAGCCCCTCTTGAGGAAGCAGAATTAACATCAGAATACAAACAGCACCAGGGCAATCCACAACAGTACATGGTGTTGATTATTTTCCCTATAGTATGCAGGGAATCTTGCTGGACCATTCTCCACTCAGGATGGCATCTGGGCTCCTGTCACCAAAATGTGCCAAGACTTCTTTTTATGTTTTAGTTAGCATTTTATAGTATCCTAAGTCGGTTTTCATGGCATTCTCACACACGTGTGCTTGGTTCATGCTGTCTCTCCCATCCCTTCTTTCTCACTGGTTTCTCACCCCAAATACTCCCCTTTCCCCTTTCACACCAAAACCTTCTTTGTGGAAAATGAATCCTTGGCCTGGAAAGACATCAGTAAGTTGACAAGTGTGTATTTTCCCCCTGAGCTCCCAGACTACTCTCTAGCCTTAGTAGTTGACCCTAGCATAAAGAATGCCTGGAAATCCCAGTGTCAAACCTGGTGGAGCAGCTACTGAAGGATGAGGTGATGGGATTAGTGTAGCCCACTGTCCAGGTTTGTCAGAAAAAACTTCAAACAATAATGAGGATTCTCCATTTTTCTCATCAAGCCTGACAGGGCTGGTTAAGTTTAGATCCGAGGGTGAGAAACAACCGACCACAGCTTAATGTGTTTGAGTCAAGTCACGGTGGCTACAGAAGGCTCTAAAAGTGTCTAGCACTTGGAGTGAGGGAGACAAAGCTTCCTTAAAGAATTGACAAGATCACAGTGATACTGCCTAGTGTCCTAGTGGGAACTCTGGGGCCTACCAGAGCTGCTTCACTTCCTAGGATCCCAGGCAGCAGTGGCTTGGTGTCACACCTGGATGCCAGTACTTGTGCTTGAGTAAGGTGTGTGTGTGTGTAGTGGGAGGAGCCTGTGTTCTAGTTATAGGGAGTGTGGCGGTGAGGCTACAAGCTCTATTTCATTTGGGAAAGTGTTTGAATTCTGAAGAACTGGATGATGGGAAATTCTGGATGCTTCTGCCCACAGCAACCTCAGACAAAAGAGCACACTCTATGATGGCTCTTTAGTCATTTACTTATTTTTGTAACAATATTTAGCAGATAATTTACTATTTAAATTGGTGCAGTTGCCTTAGTAAGATTAGCTGTTAAATAAAAACCATCCCAAACTGCTGTAATTCCATTAATCCAAGGGGAAAACAACTAACATTACCCCTGGATCCTCCAGAACTCAGCACACCTGGGTGTTATGCAAAAGGACAAAGGTGTGGCTTCCTAGATCTACCTGTCCTTGCTACAAGTAGAAAGAAGCATCATTTAAAGGTTAATATATATATATACAGTATGTAGATATATATTTTCCAATTCCTTTAGCATTTTATTCTGAAAGCTTGGAAACAAAAATAGAATAACCTAACGACTTCACTATCTGGAACCTATTCTGAATGATTAATACTATGGTAAATTTGCTAGCTATTGTGACTAGAGCAGTTATGAACACTGATAAGCATGTGTCTCTGCAGAAGGAAAGAGTCCTTTGGATATATGTCTAGACATGTACTGGATGATGCTATGTAGGTTGCTGAGGGGTGGGGGTAGGGGTCATCAATGGCCTCACCCAGCTGTGAACTACAATAATGACCAATGTGCAAGGCTAGCCTTGGCTATGTTGCAGTAAGACACTGCTCACCAATCCCCTTAGGTACAGTCATGACACAAACTACAGAATTAACCAACCATTAGAAAAATGGATTGTACTTAAGAAAATCTGATTGGATTTGAGACTCTCTCCACAGAAGGGAACCCGTGCCTGATACTGTAAATCTGGCCAAGAGCCTATAGTTGAGAAGTTCCCAGGCCCCGGGGTGAGCCTACTACAATATCTACCGCCCTTTAAATCCATATCTCTATAGGCTAGTGCAGCTCTCAGGCTGCAGCACTTCAGCAGAGGGGTTTGTACAGTGGATACTGGTTAGTTATGCAGAGTCTAAATGCAGAGACTAAATTGTCATTTGAGGATTCATCCACACATGGGACATCTATTCCATAACCACCTCTGCACATTCAAAGACTATCATGGGGAGGTGGTTGTAAGAACCAGGGGTTGTGGGGGACTGGAACTAAACAGTGTCCTCTGGACATGACAGGACAGCTGCACTCATGACCTCATGGCATCTGGGTGCAGCAGGACCTGAGGAAGAGCAAACTAATCCAAGGTCAGCACGGGGAAGGCGTTCACAAACCCCGACCCTTAGCTAAAGAGCCATGGATAGTTGGTGGCTTTTCCAGAAGGGAGAATCAGTTTTCTTTAAGAATGTGGCCCTTGGCAGGTGACAATGCTTCAGTGGATGAGCCCACACCCCAGATTATATGGGAAGCACAAATTGGCCTCAATGGGTTATTTAAAACAAGCAAACAAAAACTACTTAGTTGGGAGGGGAGGGCGGTAGGTGTGGATCTGGGAGGAGTCAGAGGAAGAATGGAGGTATGATCAAAACCCTTGAATGAAATTCTCAAAGAATCATAAAATAATCTTTTAAAAGGTGTTCTCTTTTGGCACAGTGTAGTTGTATACACATCTATGGTCCCAACACCCAGTCAACTGAATAGGATGATCTTAAGTTTGAAGCCAGCCTGGGCTATGTTGTAGTAAGACGCTGCCCCCGCCTCCCAGCAAAAAAGTTTCATAACTGCAGAAGGGGAGTTGTACTGGAAGTTTGATCCAGTTCACAGGATCATCCAACTTCTTGACATTGTGACATAATGTCACAATTTGTAAATGTGTTGAGCATCCTGTGACTTATAGGCTGAACATTCCAGCACATTCTAGGCTAGGGGTTTCCCACTGAGGGAAACTTAGGCCCTTCAGTGTGTTTTTAAATAACTTAAAGAAATCAGGCTTGTTTCACTTAAAGAGAAGGGTGCACTGAGAATTCTGGTGTTAGGAGCCAGACTTCCGTTCTGATTTCGTCTCTGCCACTTACCAGCTGCATGTCTTGAACATTTCTGCATCTAGCAAGGTATTCTCCTCCTGCTCCTCCCCCCTCAGCCCCCCCCCCCCGGCTCCCATCCATATCCAAGGAATCCATCTCAGTGTCTGGTGTATAGCCACTGGCCTAGTGGAATTACTTCCAAAGAAAACTGTTAGCCAAAATTGCTGAGTTAGGGGCTACCCAAAGCCGAAGCCAACACTCGGAGTCTGCAGCAGAAATGGGCACCTAGAATCTTCTGCAGTTGAATTTTGTTTAGTTTCCCTCTTTTAAAGAAGAAGAAGAAGAAGAAGAAGAAGAAGAAGAAGAAGAAGAAGAAG